ATTCCGATCCTCTATGTCTTTAGCTCCCATCCCACGGATTTTTAGCCCGGCCTGTAAATGACGTAAATTTATATGCCCGACGACATTCTGGGCCACACTAAATCTTTTAAATACCTTCTACATTTTGTACATACCGAGGTGACGTTAATATATTTCTCATCTTTCATATACATATACATGTATAATATATTGATATATACTTTCCATAAATTGTTGATCATCTCTACCTCTTTCTCACCTGTAAGCGGAAATATGCGTCATCGTAATTTCTGGACTTGTCTGCTTTACAAGCTCGAGATCTAAATGTGACAAGCCAAATGTGACAAGCCAAATGTTACAAGCCAAATGTTACAAGCCAAATGTTACAAGCCAATGTGACAAGCCAAATGTGACAAGCCAAATGTTACAAGCCAAAGTGTTAGATCCACAAGCTATCAATGAGTATTAGAGCTACATTTCGTTCCGGGGGCTATCATTGGGTTTGGGTTAGGGATAGGCTAGCTATGATATGATGTGTTGCAAGTTGGATCAGGATGTACACTTCCGGGACGTTTTACGGCTCTTCATTTCACTCAGATTTTTTATCTGTTTTGTTGTTTAAATTTTGTTTTCGTTTATTTATTGTTTTTTTGTGTGCTTTGTTTTGAGGGGCTGGATGCGATTTGTTGGAGGGCGCCATTAGTAGGTCCTACTTCTTTACTTTCCCTCTGTTGTTCCTGTCTGTCTGTCTGTCTCTCTTACTTCTCCCCAGCACTAAATGGCCATTGTTGTGTCGATGTGCTTCTCTTTACTCAAATAAACTTATCGGTGGATGCGGCGACGGTAGAATCTGGTTGTTGTAGTTGCTGCTGTTGTTGTTGTTGCTGCTACTGTTGTTGTTCCTGCTATTGTTGTTGTTGTTACTATTGTTGTTGTTGCTGCTGATGTTGTTGTTGTTGTTGCTGCTGGTGTTTATTATTGGAAGTCCGTACAGCGTTCAGACATTGAGATCTCTTGTTATCCGTGTCTATAAATAGAGCTCTTGGGCGGATGCATCTCTGGGCGGATCGAAAGGGGAAAACAAAAACGAAAGTGTTTGGATGAATGCGCGTGTTGTAGAACTCCCGTAACACACTCGGCGGTTTTGGCATGTTTCTGCTAGGTGGTAAAAGAAGAAGAGTAGAAGAGAGGAGGAATAAAAGAAGAGAGGAAAAAGAAGAAGAGTAGAGATGTTCGTTGGACAATGGAGTCGTTCACCTGAGCTGTGGGCTGTGTGTCTGCTCCCTGCATGCAACACCTTAGAACATCTCTTCCCCAGCCCACTGCCTCCTGCTTTTGTTTTACCTGGCGCAGGTTTTTTTTTTGGGGGGGGGTTATCGTTTAGAAGACAGACTTTAGAACTTCGGGGTGTTTAGGCGCTAAACTCTTTCTTCTTTTTTAACGTAATCTCTCTCTCTCTCTCTCTCTCTCT